AAATGGAAGGAGAAACTCCTCCAGCCCGCTGCAAAGTCACACAAGCTCTCACGCCAGAGGCACAAACGAGAGCAAGACTGTTCCTTTCAACAGCAGCCTGCAAAGATGTCAACTGAAGGCAATCGTGGAATTGCAGCCTCAGAGCATGTTGCACAATACGTTGGCTGCAGCAGCAAAGCTGATTTAAGAGTTTCCGGGCCCCGGTCCACCTCCAGCTGCTCATTCGCTTTAGTGATGTGGCTTACCACACAGATCCACACACAGCTGCACCAGTATGAAGGCTGGAGTAGCAAACTGCAGCGTTGGGAGCAAAAAGAACCCCCCAGGGTGGAAAAGAAACTCAAAGAGTCTTCTCTGCTGATGCCAACGCATTACAGAGTTGTACCCTTAAGCTTCAAGTTCAACGCTAAGCTGATCCGACGACTGGCAGCTGCCACGGCTCCCCCTCCATCACACTGAGTATTCCTACCCTCCGCCTGGGCGAGCACTCAAATCCCTCTGTCAAGCATCCAACAGACACAAGAGCTGGTGCAAGAGAGGACACAGAAGCATACAAAGCTTGGTGGGGGCAGGACAGGACTGCAGCAGACGCTGTAGAACCACAACCACCCCTTGTGGTTTCACGGACCAGTCTAATCAGCACTATCAGCTTACAGCTGCATGGTGAGTCCCCAGGGGATGGATGACACCTAAGAAATAATGAAGCACAAGACATTCAGGACTTAAGAGATCAGCAGAGTGCAGAAGCTTGCAGTGAGGGCCGTGTATCTGGGACAGAAGTGAGGAGCTGGCTACACACTGAGCGCTTCAGGTTTAAGGCTAAAAGCGGAGAGGAGCTGCCTCTTTTTCAGGCACAAGCTGCATATTTGATCAAGCTGGAAAAAAAAAAAACTTTGCAAGGTAACTTGAATTAACACTTCCCCAATAAACCCTTCTACTGGGAAACTTTTGCAAAAAAAAAATCCTTTCTGAAATAAACACATCAGTACGCACTGTATCGTGGTGCTGAGTAAAACATAATACAAATTGTCCCTAGAAGATTTCTTCTACTAAAATAAATCTTTCTAAAAGTGTTCAGTAGGAAGCAGTTCAAAAATTCACGTGACTTTACCCTGTGAATCCTATTAGAAGATATATGGCTGCTTTATAGCAAATACAAAATGTACAAGCAAAAAGTAGCGAGAGTTTGGATTTCAGTTGTGTCTTTCCCCCCCCCTTTTTTTTGCCTTCTTTTGGAAAACAATTTTTAGAAGACAGAAGATAATGAATATTCTTAGTCATAAAAAGGAAAAAATATTTAGACAGCTTTTAAAAATAGTAGTACAAGAACATAATTTGGTTTGTGTTTTACAAAACAACTTATTTAGGTTTAGCAGCACGTGGCTGTATTTTCAGCTTTAGCCAACAGCACATTTCTTACAGGCCATGTCTGGAATAGTTTTTTTTATTTACATTTTAATACTTTTTTTCTTCCCCGAAAACAAAACTGAAATTAATTTCCTCCTTTTCTGAATTCAAGATCATGCTGAAAAATGTTGTGCTATCATAAGCAGGTAGGAAGTGTCTCTCTGCGTACTATACTATACTCGAGCTCTACAAATGTCATTGCAAGGGACGATGAGAGACCATAACCAATAACTCTGACTGTTAGATAACTCTGACTGCAGATAAATAGAGCTGCATATCTGAAACGGGAGGTAAACCAGGTAGCAGTAGCGATTGATATTGACAGGCTTTTCAAAGAAGAGTTTTCTTTGAGATACGACCCAGCCTAAGCATTTCCCAATCTGGTTCTCTATCTTGTCTGAAGGAATACTTCTGAACATCTTTTTCATGCAGGGATCTAAACAGTGTGCTTAAAAATTCTCATAACAGACAAATCCCTACTCACCTCTGACTTGAAAGAAGTTTCATCCTCTGAGTTCGACTCCTCCATTTCCACGGGCTTTTTGATCTCCTTGGCCTCACTTTCAGATTTTACCTTTTCCACTTTGGCATTCATCTTCTCCTTGGTTTGTTTCTTCTCTGGATATGAGGAAGACGAGGTTCTGGGAGACGTCCCTAGGATATTCTTTACCCCTTTGGAGCTACTCTTTTTTTGTTTTTTGGCACTAGGCTTTGGTGACTCCACATTGGAGGGCCTCTTGCTGGAAGACTTTAACTCCGGCTGTGGCCCACCCTTTGGAGAAGTGTTCTCCAGTTTGGTTTCCTTCACGGCCAGTTTTGGTTCCTTGAAAGCAGCTTTTGGAGGTGCCTTCTCCTCCTTAGGCAGTTTGTTCTCAGTTGGTTTTCGGGAGGAGTCCTTCAAAGGCTTGTTTTGTTCTCTTTCAAGGTCTTTGGAGGAGTTTTTACTCTCAGAGTCTTTTCTTGGCCTTTCTCTGTGCTCCTTGGTTACTTTGTGTGGCTTAGATGCCTTGCTGCTTTCCTTGCTGGCATCCTAAAATTCGGTAACAGAAACATGCAAGCGAGGTATGAAATGGAAGCTCTACACAGAATTATAAATCCCATTCTCATAAATCACATTGAAGCATTTGTTTCCTGCAGACACCCACCCACAGATGCCGAATGTACTTCTCTACCTCTGAGGTAGGTATCTAAATTTCCCAAAACTGATGGACAGAAATTGACAGTAGGTGCTTAAAAATCTACATTAGAACAAGACAAAACATGTTTCACAAATGCCTGGTCCTTTCCATGGTCTATAAAAGGAGGTCTGTAAACATCTAGAGATGCTTAGTTCAGATTTAATCTGCAGGGTTAACATCTGAAGCCAGATTAAGAGGAAACTCACTCTAGCTGCACAGGGAAAAAAAAAACAACCCAGATACTAGATTTTTTTAAGGTTACATCACATCTATGGCGAATGTAAGTTATATTTGACAAAAATACCAAATGTCCCCACAACCATAAGAGAGCCAAAGTCTCCAATATCGATTGGCATTTTATCACCCCTAATAAGAGCTTTAAGACACCACTCATTAGAGCCCTGCCCATCCTAAGAGGCAGGTACGCATGAAGGCAAAGGCGTACGTCCCTTTGGGAATTATATGTGAACTCAAAACACTTATAGAAGCGGGTCTTGCTGAGAGATGCAAACACACAGGCACCTCTGAAGGCAACCTGGCAGAAGAGAAGCAGGAGTCTCTTTAGCTACCGGCAATTTTCACCAGAGCTTGTGTCAGAGCCCTTTATTTCTGTCTGGATATCAGAATCAAATTACACTATAAAACGAATTGCTGTTAATATTTGTGACTGTTCAGGCTGATAAAATGTATGTAATCTGCTTCAAAACACATTGCTTGGGGATTGTTTCTCCTATGTAGAATTATACCAAAATAGCTTCACCATATAAGTGAAAAAAAGAAAACAAGGTTCTTGTGAAGTCTCAAGAACCAGATCCTGCAGGAAACAACCATCAAATCCTGAAATCGCTAGTTTGACCAAGCGCAGCATATTTTACGTTCTTTACACCACTACCCAAAGCAGTGCTAATGACAGAGGAAGTGCTGACTCTCTACTCAGCCTTGCTGCTACAAGATGCAAGGACTTAGAGTACAGCTTTACATGACGGACAGGGAAAGATCCACATAATTCATCCTCAGCATCAAGGATACAAGTCAGAACAATTGGAGAAGACTTTATTCAACTTTATCTGCTATAGCAGATCAGGAGGAAGATGTGGTTCACCAAAAATTCCCAGTCTTGGACATTTTCAAAATTTCTGGCAAATCATAAAAAGGCCTCCGAAATGAGGGTAAGTTCCAGATGCTTAACTAGTGAACTACAGAGTACAAGGAAGGTTTCAGAATTCGAAGCAGCTAGAAACAGCTGCTGAACAAGCTCTTAGCAGCAAGTCCTGAAGGACTTCTTCACCTCAGGATGACCCAAAAGCATGCTTCACTGACCTTTGACCCATGGGATGGTTTGGTCTTCTTGGGATCAGAGAAGGCAGAGAGCGGTATTGTGGGCAACATCGGATAATCGGGACTTGGCCTTGAAACAGCTTCTGCTCCTTCTGGCATTACCATTACCTAGTAATAAAGATGAGAAGAATTATGTACGAGTAAAGTCGCATGGACTATTAACACATAATTATGTTAAGTCACTTGCTTAATTAACACACTATTATTCATCTTGGGAATGTTTTTTCTCCTGCTTAAAACCATAAAAAGATATTGTCTAGGTAATGCTCAGTTTCAAGGCAACTCCACAAATAAAGAACATTAAAACCAGAAAAAAAAAAAATGAAAGGCAACACGCAATATCAAGTATCACTCCCAAAGGGAACACCAATATTCTGAGCACAAGCAGGCAATAAAGCTCTGGACAAGAACTGTGTGTTCTGCTGCAAATACTCTTATTCTGCAAAAGGGCAGCAAGTTAAATCTGGAAGGAGTGAGCAAGGCTTCATCAATTTAGGAGAAGCTGAATTCACTCAGGAAACAAAAAAGGAAAAAAGCTGGCCTTGGGTCTCTCCCTTGACAAGATCTTAACACCAACCGCTGAGCTCCATGAAACACTTTCCTTCTTACCTCCCCTCTATTCTGTCAGAATAATCCTGGCGAAATTTTCCACTAGATGAACGGCATCGAAGGTTATTCACAGATGAAACACCTCAATCCATAAGGAATACAATAATATACTATGAAAATCCTAGAAAGCAAATGATGTTTGAACCAACCTACAGCTGAAATAAGCCCCTTCCTCTTTGTGCCCAAGACAGAAAAGCGCTGGCACACCAAGGGAGATCTGGACAGATCAGCTTGGAATACTTGCCACTCCTGAGATTTCCTGGCAACAAACTTCCCCACAACTTTTTTTATTTTTTCAGGCTAGAAACATGTTTTTTCAGAAGAAAATTTTGACAGCAATTAAGACCATCTTGAATGAAGTCCTTGAACAGAACGTAACTATACATTACTATATATGGAGGTGTCTCAGAATAAAGTCATAACATTCTCTCTGGTTAAAACCTTCGTGCACTTTGTGGCTTGTCCTCATTTGCCTAGTGCTTGTGGTTATTTGGGAATCACTTCTTTAATCTATCACTGCATATTACTTTCCCAGAAGTAAGAGTTTGTCCACTGTAGCAACCCATATCTTATTGTCCCTTCAAGAGTATATCTATTTTTTTTTCCTCCCACACCAATTTCACTCTACATTCTAACACTTTCCCTTAATTTTTTATTAACTAAGCCCCAAGCAGCTGACCTTGGGTTTAGAGGACATTTATTGACCAGGAAGTGCTCAGTATTCAACTTCCCTGTGGTAAAAACGAGTAAGGAACAGACTGGAAGCCTCTCCCTTTTCTTGAGCTTTTCTACACTGATACAGCTCAAGACACGAGGAAGGTCACAGATAACTGCAGCAGCCTGATGGACAGCTCACAACATCCACAGCAGATCTCCATTTTCAGAGCGGTTTTAGCACTTTGATATTAATGGTCACGTTTAAAATGAAGTGCCACCAACCACACAAGTAACGGTTTAGCTGTGCTTCAAGCGCTGTAGTCGTATAACCAGGAATATAAATTGGCTGGGTCATCCTTTAGATGAGAGTAGAAACCAGCAGCCTGCTGGGCTGCAGCTAAAAAGAAAGCCCAGAGCAAAAAGAGATCAGCTAGACATTTTAACAGAACCTCCTAAGATCTCCAGTCCCTTTGGCACTTACCCCTCCAGCTTTAATGAGCTTGCGTCTGAATTCCTTGGTGGGGTTGTTGAAAGTCAGTTTCTCACAACGAAGGTGGTTCACAGGTGGATTTCCCTCCAAATTTAAGAACAGGTCGTATGTGAAACAAACCTTTTTCGGCTCCTCCTAAAAAACAAGACAGACTTTGGGAAAACGGAAGAAGTTTGGCAAGCACACTGAGTCAGAGGAGTCAAACAGTCACTCCTGAAAATCTCAAATAAACCACTAACTGCTGCATTCACAGAGGTTTTTGTTATGAGATCAGAGAGACAGAAATTAAACTATTTGTGCCTGAAGTTACCATGCCATTCAGAAACTCAGGCACGGCTTTTCACTGGAAAAGCGACGCACGGCCAAGGATACCGACTGACCATTGTCGAAAGCCGTTCAAGTCTTCCTAGGAAAGCAGATTCCAGGCTTTATGCACTATTCTGTTTTCACTGAAATTCACATCCTATCTCCTTTGGGAAGCAAGTGAACTACAAGTATCAATATTAAGAAAAGCATAATCCTTTATTTAGAGAAGGAACAACTTCTGAACTCACAGGATCTCCGCGGGTACTGAGCAAAGATTAAACGCAATGGTAAAAAGGACGCCTTGTTTTGTAAAATCCTTTTCAATATGCATATTGCAGGGCCTGAAAGGGAAGATATCCTAGGCTTTTGAACTTTCCAAGGGCACTTTCACTGAAGAAATCCGGAGTTTGTATGCATGTTGGGGATCATCCGCGCCTCACTGGTTTTGTTCCACCTGCTGCAGGAGCACAGCAACCACTCTGCGTTTGCAGTACAGAATGGAAGAAACCTCTTCCTTTTTTTTTTTTTTCCCCTCCTGAAATTGCAAATATTGCAGACTACTTGTGTATTACAAATATCGATAGGATATTTCCTGCTTTTATCTTGCATTTCAAGATGAAAACTCCAAACGTGGCAAAGCAGACTCTCCTGCAAGCCACCCGGAGCCTCACAGTACATTCAGTATTTACACGAATGCATCCCACATGCCTCATTCAATGCGCAACATCAAGCAGCTGCACAGCAGTCTTCCACAATTCATATCCAGCAGCTCGATTTCCTGGTGTAGTCACATTGTTGTACGGGAACAGATGCCGCAGGCTTCTAGCCCAAGCCATTAGATTTTGCTGAAAATAGGTTGAAGCGTCAAACGGCTTCAGACCACACTGATCCCTGCTGTTTGCTTGGTGGATACTAACGTCGCTAAAGCAGCCATTTCTTGTACAAACTATACCTCTAATAAAATAAAAAGTGCAGTGACCACACCTGGTTTACATCAAAATCAGTGACCTAAGCCCACCTCGGAGCCAAGGTCTTGGGTCCTAACTCCCCAGACAGGGGAAGGCAGACATCGCAGCACTAGAATTGTCTCCCATTAACACGCAGGAACATGCTACCAACACGAGGGGCTTCAGACCCTCTTTTGGAAAAGTCCTGAAGAATCCAAGCACCCTTGAAAGGATTTGATGTCTACTAAAACACATGAATGGGAAGAAAAAGAAAAATACTTGTAAAAATACATTGCCTTGTCATTTTCCTCTTTTCTACGACCGTTCTCATTAACTGCATCATTAGCGAGCTCTGCATGTGTGTGCTTACCCTGGAGTTCAAACAGCAGCTCCAGAGGGTCCCTCAAAGTCTAATAAACTGAAATGAAGGACGAATAGAAATCCAAATGTGGGCTACGAATGGTTTCTAAAATGCTTTTCCTGGTTTACAACATTGAATAAATTGATCTTGGATATATTAGCAAAAGCAGGCTTTAGTCAAAAGCTCTTACGCCATCGCGTCATCAGAGCTCTGCTTTGTCATTTGCCTGGTTGCTTCCCGAGCAGGAGAGGAGCAGCAGATTCATTTCGCTTTTATCTCAGGTATCCCATTTTTTACATAGACTCTAAGCATCAGAGAACCTCCCAAATATTTATCGTACCTCTGTCGACAAGCTTCCACTTTTTGTAAAATTAACACAGTTTTTCAATGTGATTTTTCTCCAACTCTGAGATCACGACTGCCCTGGGAACCGAGTCCTAGCCGAGCACCATGATCATTAAAATATCCTTTGTATCATCTCAGGCCATCTGAAGCCCCCCATCCAAGCGAATAGCTAAGATTACAGCACTTCTAAAAGAAGGAGTACAAAAGTCTTAAAGCAAAAAGCTGCAAATAAACATTCTTTCCTTTACTGCCTACACTGACAGCTAATGATTACAGCTCGAGACACTCCAAAGCTTAACCCATCCGGTCCTCCCTAAAAGGTTCTTCCCTCCCACCAACCATCAAGGGGGGGGGGGGGGGGGGAAGGGAATAAAAAAAAGAAAACCAAGCAAAATCTCCCTCAATTGACCTGGACCTACACATCCCCTGGCTTTAAACGGAAAGCCACACTGAATCCACAGTGCCGCACTTCAAAGCCTTTCTAAATAACACCTTGGGATCTACACATCCTGCTGCCTGGAGCTGCAATGGAGGGTCGGGGCTTTTACACCCTGCGGACTTAGGTCCAGGCAGCCTGTTTTCATACTGCAACACCACTTTACATCCTCCTGTTTGAGAAGCAACTATGTGGGCAAGCCAATATCACCCTTAGATGATTCCACCTTCTGATATTCAACCCTTGATGTCGATAAGTAAAACTGAAAACAAGAAAGACTTATTTTCTGTGGATATTTATTGCTCTCCAAGACCGTAAGCTTTTCTAAAGGGCCTTACTTCCAGGAAAGGCTTTGGAAAGGATGGATCACATCCATTTGTAGCTGGTAGATATTGCGGTTATTCAGATGAAAATGCACTGCTCAGTTTGGACACGAAATGGTTAACCTGCTTAACCTTGCTCTCTCAGCAAGCCACCTTAGAACCTCAGTTTATATCTGCCCCTTAAATCTCTTCATGCCAGAGAAGTAAGCCAGAAGTGCGTACCACAAAGCTAGGGCCACTTTTATTTGCAGCCGCTGTAAATTCCACCCCGTGAATCCCCCTACTCCACCTCCAGTCTCCAAAGCTGAGCACATTACACTTTATTGTTACTGTTTTCCAGCTTCCTGCCTGCCGCTGCGCTGTTACCAACACTGGAGTTGCTTTATTTTCCTTCTGAGTTCTGAAGTAACGGGTTAAAGTTCTTCTGGCACTTTTCGTAAGAGGAGGAATTTTTCAAAGTCTTTTGTTAAAATTTCCTTGTCCTGTTTTTAAGGCAGGGTGTGCCCTTTGCCACTTAAACACAAATCAAAAGAATTTCACTGGTAGCATGCGCATAAAGCTCATAAATCACTTTTAGAAAGCCATAAAACAAAATTATCTACAAAAATCTAGCACACCAAGGAAGCAGGCTCATGGTTATTCAATAACTCTAACATCTAACACGACTTCCCTTTTGCCATAGATCCAGCCTGACAGAGTCATTTATCCGTAACTGCTTCATAACGTCTCTATAAATGAAACCCCCTTTCCAGGCTTGAACAACCCGTTTGACTAGTCTTCCACTCCGCTTCCAGACAAGACATTTAAAAGCAAATAGCCCAATATTCATTTTTAAAACAAGTACCCAGTACATTACACTCTGCTAACAAGTCCATAAAACACCCTTCTCTTTTTTGAGTTTCTACAGGGTTGAGTAAAATAACAGAGAACAACATTTTTGGAACTCTCCCCCATCTCAAGCCTATTACTTAATTTGAAAATTAGGAAAATATTCTCCCTGCAGGCATTTAATAATCTACTAGCTCTTACAAATAGAAGGTAGGATGCTGGCATGGCTAGAGAAGCTGCTGAATTCGACCACGCTCCCCTGCCAGGCGCTGCAGTCTCTGCACCATACGGAGATGCCCATCAACGTGCCCCGCTGAACGGCTGCTGAAACACACAGTTTTGGCCGGGAAAACAGTCTGTTCAGATAGAAGAATGGGTAAGCTGATAATATGTATTAATTTATGACAGAAAATGGTGTTAAAAAAAAAAAAATCCACCACTCAGCAGCAGCACAAAAGAAAGCGCTGCGGGTTGGGCAAGTAAAACGATACAAGAAACCTAAAAAAGTGAGCGACAAATGCTTCCACTTAAAGGCTGGAGAAAATGCCAAGTTTTACTCCACCTTTCACAACTTCCAGAAACACTGAATAAATACTAATAGGTTGAATCTACTCCTCCTTTCCTCAAACCTGTGCAGACCTGGCCCCAACAATGCAGCAATTTGTTAAGTAAAATCAAACGTCTCACGCAAACACGGGCCCTTCAGCAACCTTCCTGAGGAGTGTCTCCCAAGCCAACACCTTCCCGACGGCACAGTCCTGACAACTGATTCGCATTGATCTCCAAGTTTCACCTGCCACCATATGTGCAACCCACGTACAGTGTCTCCACTGAGTTTCTACTTTGAAACACAAATAATTTTTCCCTTCTCCATCATCTTTCTATATATTGTATATATCACGCCTATAAATATTGCAGAAGGGGTAAAACACGCAGGTTTTTATTTTGAACCTAACTGGAAAAATCAGATTCCTCTGCCTTCTTCGCTTTTCACTAATAGAAAAAGCCCGAGTTACACGTATCCATTATGTAAAGACTGGAAGGTTTTTATCTCCAGCATGGAAACTGGAAGCTAGTATCTTTAAACAGACTTTAATACAACAGCTTATCCATGTCGCATTAATATCACCTGCCTGAAATCGGAATAGCATGAAAGTATACGAGACCTTGAGCTTTTGTTGCGGGGAGAGAGGAGTGTTGATCTAATTTGATTAGGATGCAAAAAAAATTGAACGGGATCAATATCAAAGTCCTACCTGTACTACAGCCTCCAGATGACAACGTACGCCACTCTAAGAGATGCGTTTGGGGACAACAATGAAGCCATGGAAAATGCCTCAAGACAGTTGAAATGGAGAGGGGGAGAGCGAAGGGGAAAAGCAGTAGAAAAACAGCAACGCATTTATTGTACCCAGTTTGTATTGATTCGAGCACCAGAAGCCACTAGCAGCAGCTCTCATTACAGGAAGGAACACAAAGGATTGAAAAAACAAAAATAGCGCGCTAACATTTGTAGCCCAACAATCCCAAATGATCCACTATCATTAGCCAACAGGGCTTTCAAAAGCCCCATCCTTCCACACGCTGAGCCCCTGCCATTTGTTTCCAGGCTCGGTTACAGAGGCAAAGGCTCTAGCAGGACACAGATATCAAACGCAGCCGCGAGTCCTGGGGGCCGTACAGACGGATCGACAAACTTCAGCAATATTCAAAATATATATATTCAGTAATTCAAACGACAAGACTGAGAAAGCACCTGAGTGAGGAGCTGAGTTACAGCACAGGAAGGACAAACGCACGCCACCAAGGCGTAACTGTGTCCGTAGAGGATAAGAACAGGCTCTTGCACCTTTGTTAATACTCTGCTGACGCTTCCCTGACAGAAAGGCACCAAGAGCTTCCGTGGGGCTGACAGCACTGAGCCTCCTACACCAACCAGACAACAACCACAAAAAGGGAGTACGCCAGCACAAAGAGTTATCGGGCAGTTTTATGCAAAGTTGCCTTAAAAAAAAAATCCCTGAAGCTCATGAAAAACATTCTTAAGTAAAACTGTTCCTTAGCAGTGAACAGGCCCATGTTCCTTAGCCAAAGCAAAGAGTACACTGGCTCTCACAACCACTATTTTTCATCCTGGTAACAAATTAGAACAGGGGAAGGAAACAGCTACGAAAGGAGGCTTAAACTGTGGAAAAAAAATAATTTCAGCCAACCATGGCAAAGATCAACCTCCAGTAATTACTTCACTCTCTCTTCTTTAAATCCTCTCTCTTCTCACCTTCACAAAGAACAAATCCCCAAGCTTCTGCAACTCGTTTCAACTGAGAGGACACACATCAACAAAAACACGTTGGAATGTAGGGAGCATATGGCCAGAAAGAGCCATCCGACTCCTCCTGCCCAGCCACCTACGAAACAGCATTTCCTACCCAATTCCAGAATCAATCCGTAACATCTACTTGAAAAGAGTTATTCAAGGATGAGTCCCAAATGCTGCAATCAGTTCAGGCAAATTCAGAACAATACATGCTCCACAAACAACAGCTGATCCCCACCAGTGTCAACAGGTTTGCAGAGATCAGAGTGAACATATGGTCCCAAAGTTGTGAAGACTTATTTATTTGGTGCTCTAATGCCACATCCGTTAATGCAGGAGAAAACAGGCTGTATCCTAAGCCTCTGACATCCCTCCTCCTTCTTTTTCCCAATCTTTGAAATTTCTACTATATCCCAATCTTTACTTATTTTTTTTGTCTTTGCATCTCTGTCTTTGCAGAAGTATTTACCTCTTACACATCCTTCAACAGCACTTACTGAAAGGAATCTTAGCTCTTAATATTTCAAGATGGCATTGTCACCGGGCAATAGTGGTCAGAGGAGCCAAAATCTTCACATCATCAGGCAGCTTCTAAGCTTCCAGCGATCACAAGTACCATGCTTAACGTCCAAATGTGCAGAGAATATCACATCCAATGACATAAGGATGGAAAAATTACTTTTAAGCAGTAAAAGCAAACTTCAAACAACTTCAGGATAGCTCACGTATTTCAAGTTCGTGGCTGAACCTGGGAACACATCTCTGTTCAAATGATGTGCTGGGAGACAGCAGCTATCATGTTCTCCCTCAACCACTTCTTACCCCAATTTAATAACAGGGGGGTGCTGTCTGGAACACCTTAATTAGTCAATTCATCAATCAGCTTAAAAGTGGAAAAGAACTTCTCCATAATGCACGCATCTAAAAAAAACAGGGCAAAGATGTGCATTTTGAAAATTTGTAGTTTTGAAAGCAAGCGTGCAACTAAACCTCTTTTCCTGTTAATTTTTCACATTTCTGCAGACCAAAATGCCAAAACCAAACCGCCTTCTCCTAAATTAACTGCTACTTCCATTGTTTCCCCTCAGAACAGAGACCACCTATTTCCCTTATTTATAAAAGCCGTCCTACAACAACTATGCAGTCACATGTTTGGAGAAACAATGAGAAGCGATGACCCCAGTGGGTGTGAAACCAAGTTAGATTCAGAAAAGCTGCCAGTTCCATATTCTGCGAGGAGCACGTGAATATAAGGGACAGCGAGAAAGCAAGCATATGAACGCAGTCGCTGCAAACAAGCGCACCTACAAAAAAAAAATACAAGACAGGTAGAAGTGAGAGAGAAAAATCTCTGAGGACTGGTGAAAGACAAAGCCATCGGAGACCTGCAGGGAAAAGGCAAAAGTGAGAGAAGACTAGACGAAGAAAGGAAAAAGTGAGGGTAAGGGTAGAAACAAAACATAGTTCACTCATCAGTCATTTGAGATTCCTCTTACAAGAAATCAGCGTGGACAAGTTGACATTTTTTGGTCAGGAATGTAAAGGTAGATTTTAAACCTGAATTAAGCCAACACGCAGTGCAGATGAAGAGTTTCCTGATTTCCATCCAAAACCTCAGAAAAGCCACCAGAAGTCAAACTACTTTTACACGTTTGAAGTTTTTTTTTTTTTTGCATTCAAGTCGCAGTTTTCAGTGTTTGCCAAAAAAAAGCTGCTTCTATCACCAACTTCCATCCCCTCCCCTCTAACTGCCATTTCTCTTCACATCCTTTTCGTTTACCCCACCTACCCAAAAGAAAGCTGTGGGCAAAACGTTCCCAGGTTTAGAAGACAAGTCTTCTTGTGGTTCAGTCTCACTATTTGGCTTTTTACTCAGAGTCATAAAGTGGGGTAGGCCAAAAAACCAAACGAAACCATCAATTATTCACAAATGACACCATCAGGAGAGGATACTGTGCTAGGCAGGGGCAAGGAGGAAACGACACACACGTGTTAGTGGGGAGTACAATGGGAAGGATGCTGGGAAGCTGAAGGGAATGAGGTTGTTATATGTGATATATGTTACGTGTGTTATATGGAGGGTCCGGGGGGTGGGGGTAAGGGCATACATTATAGCGATGTGGCTTAATGGGCACATTTTAGTTTATCTAGGTTTTGTCTTAGGGATAATAAACAGAACAGTATTTTTTTAAATTTAAGTAGTAATCAAACCCAGAAAGATTCAGTATTCATGTTTAACAAAACAATTTAACTGAGTCAATACAAACGCAAGAGCCCAAATCCCTGTTTTCATAACCTCCTCCGAGTCATGTAGCATGCGACCTCTGTGGTAAGGCTTAAAGCAAGCAACAAATCTCATTTTTTAACTTTTATATACTTGTTGGCAATGCATCTTAAGATTTAAAATATTTAGTGTTTTCTTTTTGGAAGAGTACTGAATCAGAGTGACAATATTTTTAACATAGCTGTAAATACCTGTCCTATATACGCACGTTTGTCTTTATTTTATACCTGTACAGTTAATTTAACAAGATTGCAAATATTAAAAATTGATTTTTTAATATATTGCTAGTCAATATAGTATTTACAAATGTTTACAAAATCAGTGACTTATATTTACTTCCCTATTTGCATCAAATATTTTAAATTGCTTTAATATTATCCATGCTAGAGAAGCTTGTTACGAGCGGTACAATCTCTGTTCGGAATCTCTAGGACCATCACACTGTCCTGATATTACCTTTCTATACAATTCCATTTCTGCCAAAAGCTTTCTTTTGAAGTCTGGCAGGAGCTTCCAACTCCCAGTTAAATTCTATTTATTAGACTAATAAAAAACACACACATAAACCAGTCACATAATTTAGAGTCTTTCTGTCAGGCAGTTTCAGGGTCTGGCACAGCTCAAAACAATTAGAAGACCAGAAATCAGATTCTACCTTATTTTTGAAGTGCACTTCAATGGGCATAATGAAGCCTGCGTAGCCAGACTCCTCCACTTTGTAAGGGGGCTCCTTGCACACTGAAAAGAGAACAGACAAATGTTAACTTTGAATATAACAGAACTTAATCTGAGCCAAAAAGGAGTTGCAAGATGAGAAACGGGCCTCTGACAACTCAGGACACATTTAAAACACTGACCTTTGGGAAAAAACAAAATAAGATGGTGGTCACAGGCTTAGTAAAGAACATGAAAATCTGTTCTTAGCTCCTCCCATGGAAAGGAAACATAAAACACTCCATGCCAGAGCCTCCGTGAGATTCTTCCCCCCCTTTTGCAGTGAGATACAATTACATTTCCGCGCTGTTCCACAACAATGCAAACTGCCAGTTAAAGCTGCCTGGCAAAAAAAAGGTGAAGAACCAAAAGGTGGGAATTGGAACAGTACGGAAAAGTAAAATTTACTTTGATACCCATATTTATTCATCAAAACACTATACCATGCAACCAGATTTATTTTTTTTTTTCCTTGAAATGCTCTCCTGCAATGCTCAATCTTCTTAATTACGTAACAGCCATACTACAAGCTGCTTCATCCAAACCTCGTAACAAACCTGAAGGGCAGGTAAGCACTGCTATTTATTTCACATACCAGGAAACGGAGAAAGGTTAAACAGTTTGCCGCTAAGGTCACAGCGCTGCTTACTGCAGACACATCGATTACAAAAGTTAATCGCTTCTAAGAAATTAATCTACGTGCTTCTTGCCTCAGTTCCTACCTGTTGTATCTTCATGCTACTGAATCCTTCCCATCTTCTACCACTGCGTTTCAGCATAGCGATAGCTGGCTCAAAGGATTCTAGGATCATTTATTTGGCCATGACACAGCCATACATAACAGCTGCCAGAAGCAACGCAAGACCTACACAGATATTCTCCCTTTCAGGAACCAGATGCACTCGCATATAATTTATGTACAACAATATATGTAAATAAAGTCAATTAAGTAATTAGAGGAATTCAGTGCAAATCTTTTTTCTTTCTCTAAAGAATTCCAAGTAATTAGTACGATTAGGAAACAGTACCTCAAACATAAAAAGCACACAAACTATTGTCCTTTAATGGAGATATATCATCCCCAGCTCTAAGCACTTCAACCATCATAAAGCTACTAGAAAGCAGTACTCTAAATTCAGCTGTTAAAAAAGAGCATATCTAAAAATAATATCTCTAGACTTGCTTTAACTTGAATTTCATATTAGAACCCTATCACTTAGGGGAAAAAGCCCGAAACCAAAAAGCAATGCCAATGTGGCAGCAGGAA